CCCTTAGTCATTCCAACAAACTTCCTGAAAATATCATTATTGTCAATAAACAGGTTGTTTTGCTTTCTTGAGTGATTTTTATTATATTATGAAACAGAAATCAATGAGACTTTTGTACAGAGCGAAAATAATTTAATTCAGCAAGAATTTGTTGAATAGCTTCTATGTTCAAGGTAATCCAAAAGACACTGGGTGAAACAACAAGAATCAGATATGACCCCTATCTTCAAACAACTTATAGTCTATTTGGAGAGTTAGATTGAAAAAAAAAACCAAGGTAAGCAAATTTTCAAAAATAAACTATACTAGAAATGTTAATATTAATAGGAAGGAGTGATTAAACTTGATTGGGTATGGAGAAAAACACCATTGTGAAAATAAAACAAGCCTTGAAGAGTAAGTATAATTTTAATTTAAGGAAGGTCTTATATATGTAAAGTGAATAGTAAATTTTACAACTTATAATATTCCAAGATAAAGTTATATAGAATTAAGAATAGCACAGAGGGCTGGGGATGTGGCTCAAGTGGTAATGTGCTTGCCTGGCATTCGCGGGGCGCTGGGTTTGGTCCTCAGCACCACATAAAAATAAAAAATAAAGATGTTGTGTCCACCGAAAACTCAAAAGTAAATATTTAAAAAAATTCTCTCTATCTCTCTCTTCTCTCTCTCTCTTAAAAAAAAAAAAAAAAACGAATAGCACAGAACTTTTTTTGGATGGATGCCTGAATTTTAATCTTGGCTCTGCAACAAATGATGAAAGCATAGGCAGTTTTCATCTAACGTTTCTTGTGTACTGATAAAGTTGCAGGGACTGCCTTGGGAGATGAGTGTAGGGCTGCTTTATGCTATTAGAAGAGACCACCCAAGGAGGTGTTGACTATAACAAAATCCTTGAAGTGAGAAACTTTATAAAAGAAAAAGTTTCTTTATCTCACATCACAGTTCTGCAGATCCAAGGTTGAGGGGCCACATCTAGTGACGGCCTTCATGAGTCAGCACAGGGCATCATATGGCAAGAGACAAGGGGTGTGTGTGTGTTTCTTTTTGTCTCTATTCTTATAAAGTTACTGGTATTTTATTATGGAGTCTTCACCCTGAAGACTTTCTGAACCTAATTCGCTCTCAATGGCCTCACCTCTGAACACCACAGTCAGATTAAGCTTCCACCTTCTTAATCCCTCACACTGGGGATTGCATTTCAACACAGGAAACATGGAGGGAAACACTCCAACCATATCCAAACCACAGCAGGAGGTGAGATCCCAGCTGAGAACAGAACTAACGTGAACTTCCCAGGTAAAGATCTACGTGGAGAAAGTTCCAGAGTCAGAACCATCAAGGAGTTGCAAAGTTAGAGCGTTCTAGATAGTCCTGATGGTTAAAGAGAAAGGAGAGAAGGGCATGAAGTGAGTTTTGTGAATAGGGTGATATAGTTTGGGTCCCATTTTAATGATGGTGGAGAATCACTGAAATGTTTAAGCCGACTTTTGTTTGTCTTGTTTTATGGCTTATTTTTTCTAGAGATCACTTTAGTTGCTGGGTTAGAGAATGGAGTGGGCAAGTATGGAAGCAGGGAGAAGAGTCAGGAGGCTCTTGCAATAGTCCAGGTAATAATGATGGATGTTTAGGCTGCTGGGTGCAGTGGAATGAAGGCTTGTGTAAGTGCCAGGGATGACATGTGCAGGTTTTTAGCTTGAGCAGGTGGTGATATCGACTGAGGTGGGGGAAGTCTGGGAGATATGGAGGTTTGGAGAGCAGGCCTCTTGAGATCTCTCAGCTTGCTTTCTGTTGTAAAATGGCACTGATACCTGTCTGGAAGTCGCTGTTGTAAGAATTAAATCAAATGAAGTTACCTACATAGAGTATTTGACGCACAATAATGGCTCAGTAATTGCCAGTTACTTTTTCTACGTTAAGCAACAACCATAAATAGTTTTAAGAAAGGTGCGGTAGAAATAAATGACACATTTTTCATTACTGGAGACTTCAAAAGGAGTTTTTTAAAAATTCTTTGTTTCATACGTTTTCTATAAGACTGATTATTTTATGCCTTGTGTTGGATGTTGGATGTGCCTTCAGCCAGGAAATGTGTTCTGCTAAGGCAGTGACTCCTGAAAGGAAACCATGAGTGAGGCATGTGAGATTCTGCATTGTGGAACCATGAGTGAGGCATGTGAGATTCTGCATTGTGGAGATGCAATGGTGCAGAAAGTGAATTACTTTTTGTGCACCTGCAAGGATATTCCCATTAAAAGATTTTTGCTTGAGATGGTTGAATTGGACCATATTATGATGCCCACAGGCCTCAATTCAATCTTACATTTTAGTTTGACACCCATACCACACTCTATTAGATGGTTCTGAGGTTTGGACCTGCAATAGAATAATTTCTTCAGTATCTTCTGGGGGCCATATTTAACAGTAGATGGCAAGGCAAGCTGAGCAGTGCAGACATCCTGGAGGCTCACCCATCCTACGGCCACTTAGCCATACTAGCTGAAAGCACATTGGCTCCAGCCTTCAACCCTCTAAGTTGATCTCAAATGTGGTGACGGCAATCTGTGAAGGCCAAAATATTTTTCAGACCTAATTTTCTATAGAAGAAATGTTGGAGATGGCTGAGAAGCAATTTCCACCATTAGACTAATTTAACATTCAGCAAGTGAGCAATACCTTTCAGTCCTTAAAGTGAAAGGAATAGAACCACAAATTGTGATGATGTATCTAAAAATAGTTAATCAGTGCATGAATTATGTTTCCAAATTGGAAAACACTGAGCATTATACCGAACTTCAGAGGACATATGGAGTCATGAATTCATTTTATTAATATTTATTGATACTGTGCTATGCCCCGTTCTAGGGGAGAAACGTCACAAACAAAATAAGTTTGTGACACCACAAAGCTTATATTCTAGTGCAAGGGTCAAACAATAAATATGCTAAGAAATAGGTAACTTGATTTAAGATCATGATAAATTCTTTGAGAGAAAATAAAGCAAGATGAGGATTCTAATTTACATAAATTAGGGAACACTTCTCTGACAGGTGACATTTGGACTGAGATCTGAGTGAAGTGAAAGTCACCTATTGGAAAACTTGAAGGACAAAGCTGTTTAGCAGAGGAAGTTGCACTGGCAAAAGCCCTAACTTGGGAGCAAGCATGCCATTTTCAAGTAGCAGTAAGGAGGCGGGTCAGTGTAGAGGGAAATGAGCAAGGAGATGGAAAGGGCGTTAAGGTGGGCTCCTGAGCCCAGGTAAGGAGCTTCGATTTTATTTTGAATGTGACAATAGCTGTTGGAGAGTTTGGACACAGCAGTGACACTGTCTAGCATGTTTTTGGGTATAACAGTTAAAAGTGCCTCCTGTGAGTTAGGAGGCCATTGTAGTTGTTAGCAGAGAGAAGGTTTATGAAGGAATGGAACAAAGATGTAGCCATGTAGTTGGTGAGAGGTGACTGGATTTGGAATGTATTCTGAAGATAAATCCAACAGAATTTGCTAGTGGTTTGGGTATGGGGTATGAAAGAAAGATAAGGAGACTCTAGATTTTGGGTTTAACCATGGTATAAATGGTGATGCTGTTAAAATAATATCCCCCAAAGGAAAGACAAGCAGGAGACAAGTTAGAGGGAACTCAGAGTGGTGTCAAAGGACTAGTAACAGGGCTAGTGAGCCTGACCACAGGCCTGGATGAAGACAGGAAAGTAGGTGGAGGCAGTCTCATCAGTTGGTTCAGGAGATAAAATGGTTCTTCCATTTGTTTGCATCTTTTCTTTTTCTGTGTGTGCATCAGTCTGATAAGCAATACTTTAATTGTGCATTGAACTCACTGGTCTTTTGCTTTCTTGATGGTTCTTCCAATATCTTCTCATTATAATTTCAGCACTGGTGTTAACCATTCCTCCCCCTAAAAGTGATTAATTAGTAGGTGTGTAAAAGGTGTTGAGGAAGCAGTTGGCTTCTGGGTTTCCCTGGACTGGGGTATGATTTGTGATGACTCTTACAGACTGAGAAGAGGAATGAAAGAGCTCTGTGACAAAAGGGCGCAGGACTGAGTCAGGGATATTGGGTGTTAGCAGTCCCAGCTCTGCCAGCTGCGTGGCCTGGCATTTAAGCTCTATTGACCTTGGTTTTCTCAGGGGCATAATTTTTGATTTGGATAATGTATATACTGGGATAACTTTAGAATCCTAAAGTCCAGCTTATGGTAGGATTACAAATGTTATTTAAAACACTCATTTATAGTAGTCAGAGTATCAGTAGGATGGTGATCACTGCAAATAACAGAAAACGTACACCAAAAATGGCCTTAACTGAAGAAAAAGATTCTGAGTTAGGGTGGCTTCAAGTTTAGTTAATGATATTTATCATCTCATAGGATCACTATGAAGTGATCTTATGATGTAAAAAAATTATTACTACTTTATCAAGTTATTGCCCATTTTAAAGATATGTCAGATGAGAAAAAGAAAGGCTAATTCATTCATGAAAGCAATCCAGCCTGAAAGCCAGCGAAGGGCACAGCAAGATGTTACTGTCATAGGCTATTTAAGCTGTACCACCTCCTTTTGACCACTAAATCAGAATGCTTTCAGGTATAATTGCTTTGTCCATTGATATAAATATAAGTGGAAAACAGTGCAGAAACTTGAGAAATAATCTCCAGATTGACTACCCAGTATCAGCTGCTGGTCAGAGAGCTGATTCTTGAGTTTATGAAGTAAGGTTTCTATTTTTAACATGCAGTGACAGACTTTGGCCACTAGAGGACACCATGCAGACGACGTCCTTTAGGACAGATCTGTTGCCTTCTCTAGCTTCAGTCTTCAGTCAGGAGTACCATGTTTCATGGCCTCCGAAAAGAAGGTCATTTGGCTGCTGCTAAAACTATGTGGTAAATTCCTAGTGGCTACGTGGGGGTTCTACCTTTGTCTCAGGTTGGCTCCAATGTTGACGTTGTCTTCCGAATCTATGTATAGGCTTCCTTATCCTCTTGGGACCTTCTTCTTTTCATCCAAGATAGCTACCTGGTGGATAGTTCTCCAAATATTATACTTTCTAGTCATGTTAAATGTATCCAACTCTTCATTGGCTCATCTGTTTCAAGTAAGTGCCTCTTCTAAGTTTAGTTAAATTGAATTATGTTTTTTATTCATTTCTGATGATCCTGCTTGTGAGTTATCATAATCATTTAACTATTAGAAAAAATTATAGGATTACCTAGTATCATTTTTCTATTAGTCTAGGTTTATCCATGTTGATATCAATATTATTTCCACTGCAGGGATATTTTTTTGTCATAGACTCCAATATATAGGGGTATTTAAAATACTACTTGATGAAGTTGATTTATGTTTATAGTGGAAATTAAACAAGACAAGTTTTAAATATAAAATGTAAAGTTTTTCTAGACAGCAGACTTAATTCCACTTACAGGTTCTCAGTATACTTGCCATATTTATAGGGAGTTACAGGCAAAGAGACTACAGACTTCTTGATGAAGCATCTGAGGGTGAACACTGAAGTTTCCCAGGGTAGGTGTGAGAGGAGCTGTGTATTTCTAAGTCTTGAAACTAGGTCAGTTTGTAGGGTGAATATTCTTAAGTATTTATTGCCAGTACTAACTTATGTTTAAAAATAAATTATCCACTTATAGATAAAAATCTGTTTGTTAAAAATCTGTTTCTTATCATGGTTTTATATTCATTACAATATTGTGTCTTAATTCTTAATTCCGTTTTCTTCCTAAAGAGGCCTAAACCTACTATTTTACCTGTTTTTCCACCTCTTATTTCTTCCTTCCACCAGACTATTACCTTAACCAGTGCAGGTTTAAAGCAAACATGAGGATTTTGTCTGCTGTAGATGGATCATTTATGCAGTTGTCCCAAACTGGCTTGCTGTTGGTGTGATAGCACACATGGGCACAATGTAGGGTAACATGTTTCCCATGATGAGGAGCAGGTACCATGAAGGGACATGAAATGATTTCTCATCTTTTTGACATGATTATAGCCTTTAAGGAACATTAAATCAGATAGTGGGTAAAACACACCTTGTGAATCCTCATTTAGTTTTTCTGAAGACCATATGGTGTTTGGTGTTAATTACATTTGTAATATTTTTCTTATACTTTGAATCTCTAATTTTAAAGAGGGTAAACAGGTTTTAGAGTCTTGGCAGTTTATTTATATAGCATTAAAGACCTTTCTTCTGAGGAATGTCATTGGAATTTTGATCAGAATTACATTAAATCTGTATACTGCTTTTGGAAGCATGGTCATTTTGATAATATTAATTCTGCCTATCAAGAGCAAGGTAGATCTTTTCATCTTCTAAGATCTTCTTAAACTTCTTTCTTTAGGATTCTGTAATTTTCATTATATAGATCTTTTACTTCTTTCATTAAGTTGATTCCCAAGGTTTTTTTTGTTTGTTTGTTTTGTTTTTTTAGTCTATTTTAAAGGGGGGAATTTTCCTCGTTTCCCTTTCTGAGTATTTATCACTAATATAGCTAAACTGTGGAACCAACCTAGATGCCCTTCAATAGATGAATGGATAAAAAAATGTGGCATATATGGAATATTACTCAGCAATAAAGGAGAATAAAATCATGGCATTTGCAGGCCGAGTTAGAGAAGATAATGCTAAGTGAAGTGAGCCAATCCCCCCAAACCAAATGACAAATGTTTTCTTTGATATAAAGAGGCTGATTCATAGTGGAATAAGGGGAGGGTGTATGGGAAGAATAGACTAACTAGGTAGGGTAGAGGAGTTGGAGGGGAAGGGAGGGGGCATGGGGTTACAAATGATGATGGAATGTGATGATCATTATTATCCAAAGTACATATATGAAGACACAAATTGGTGTGAATATACTTTGTATGCAACCAGAGATATGAAAATTTGTGCTTTATATGTGTAATAAGAATTGTAATGCATTCCACTGTCATATAAAAATAAAAAACCTTTTTCTAATTCTCTTTCATACCTTTGAAAGCAAATGTTTTTAAAAGAGAAGTATTGATTTTAAAGAAAAACATAAAGAAATAGTAATACAGAATTACACATTGTATACCAATTATTTCAAACATGTGCAAGTTGTAACTGACTAATTAACACAATTGAAATACTGATGTAGGTGTTAAAAGCACATGCTTTGGATTTAAGACTATCTTTTTCAATAGTCCTAAAATTAATATGGAAGAATAAAGACCCAGAATATTCAAAGCAATTCTGAGCAAAAAGAGTGATGCTGGAGGCCTCACAATACCTGACTTGAAATTATACTCCAGAGCTATAGTAATAAAAACATCATGGTACTAGAATAAATAAAGATATGTAGACCAATGGAACAGGATAGAAGACACAAAGACAAACCCACACAGGTACAGACATCTGATCCTTGACAAAGGCATCACAAACATATGTTGGACAAAAGATACCTTTTTAAACAAATAGTGCAGAGGAAATTGGATACCCATATGAAGAAGATTAAAACTAGATCCATTGCTCACCCTGCACAAAAGTCAGCCCCAAATGTATCAAAGACTGAGGAATTAGAACAGAAGCTTTGCAACTGCTAGAAGAAAACATAGGGGCAATGCTTCAACATACAGGCACAGGCAATGACTTCCTGAATAAGACTCCTAAAGCTCAGGGAATAATACCAAGAATTAATAAATGGAATGGCATTCAAATTAAAAAAATTTTACACAGCAAAGGAAACAAACGTATGAAAAGGAAACCTTCAGGATGGGAGAAGATCTTTGCTAACTAGTCTCACAAAAGAGGATTAATCTCCATAATATATAAAGAACTCAAAAAAACTCAACACCAAGCAACAAAATAATCCAATCAATAAATGAGCAAAGAAACTAGACAAACATATGTCAAAAGAAGAAATAAAAATAGCCAGCAGATATGTGACAAAATGCTGAACATCTTTAGCGATCAGGGAATACAAATCAAACCTACACTGAGATTTCATTTCACTCCAGTTAGAATGGTCATCAACAATATAAGTAACAATAAATGCTGGCAAGAATGTGGGGGTAAAGGGATACTTTGGCACTGTTGGTGCAAATGTAAATTTCCACTATGGAAATTTAAGACTATCTTTTTCAATAGTCCTAAAATTCATATGGAAGAATTTGAATTTGAAAATCAGTATGGTGGTTGCTCAAAAGACTAGGAATGAAACTACCATACAACCCTGCTATACCTTTTTTTTTAAATGCACATCTATGTTTATAACAGCATGACTCATAATAGTCAAACTATAAAACCAGCTGAGATGGTCCAACAAATGAGTGGATAAAGAAAATATTACACACACACACACACACACACACACACACAGTGGAGTTTTGTTCAGCCATAAAGAAGAATGAAATTATATCATTTGTAGGAAAGTGGGTAGAACTGGAAAGCATCATGTTAAGTGAAATAAGCCAAAATCAAAAAGTCAAAGGCTGTTTTTTTCCCCCCCTCATATGTGGAAGCTAATGAGAAAAAGGAACAAAGGATCTCATGAAAATAGAAGGGAGACCAGTAGGGCAGAGGAAGGGGATCACAGGAAAGGAAAGGGGGTTGGAAAGGGAATGAAACTGATCAAATTATGGGTGTGTACCAATATGTCACAATGAATCCTACTACTAAACATAATTCTATGCATAGATAAAAAAATTAAAAAAGACAGCCTTTTAAATTCATTCTGTGACCTGGGTGGTCATGAAAAATTCTCCAAGGCTCCATCTCTTCAATTCTAAAATGGGATAATAATAGTACCCATCTTACATGGTTATTCTGAGAATTAAATGAAATTTAAAATTAAGTCCTTAGTACCTTATAAAAATTCAGTCATGTTAGTTTCCTTTACTTCTATGGCGGTTAGTATTACTATTACAGTCATTCCTTTTATCTATGTTTTTGGCCAAATCACATATAAATATTGAATTGAAATTAAAAATTACAAATAATAAGGTTCTAACTTTATCTTTAAATAAATACACAAAGTATTACTTTTATGAGTCCTCTGCTTCCCTTTAGATAGCTAAGTGAATAAAATGTATTGATTTACAATCCACAGGGCTAATGGGATCTCTTGAAGTTACAGGATGAAGTGGGGGAGGGGTAGATGGTGGAAGCCAAGGAGATATAAGGAAAAAAAAAATACCCAAATGAGTGGATTGACCTTCAGGGGCCAAAAGTAACTAATATTAGGAATCTAACACACTGAAATCTTTTCCTCTCTAGGTTTTATTTCTTTAAGCATTTGTTCAACTTTCTTACATTTTTCAACACTATTTACATCTTATGGGTATAGGTAACACATAATGAAGTGTGCTGAACTTTTAAAAGTCAAATCCTATAGAAGTGAGAGTGAAAAAGAAAGGGTTGTGATTTTCTGTTCTGTTCACAAAGGTGCATGAATTTATTATTCCATGTAAGAAACCATGATTTCATTATATAAGATTTTTATACAGCAGAATTCATTAAGAGGTGAGTTAACTAAAATGCCATAAATAGAGTGCCAAGATCATTCAGTGGGAAAAGCTCGATCTTTTATTTTTAATATTTTTTAGTTGTTGATGTACCTTTATTTTTAATTTATTTATATGTGACACACACACACACATATACATACATATATATTGTCAGTGCCTCACACATGCTAGGCAAGCGCTCAACCCCAACCCAAAGCTTGGTCTTTTTACATAGTGCTAAGAAGGTTGGCTATCCACATGCAAATGAAAGAAGTTGGACTTTTACCTGATACCACATACAAAAATTAGCTTGAAGTGGATCAAAGGCCTGAGTATAAGAGCTAAATCTATAAAGTTTTTAGAGGAAAACAGAGAAAACTTCATGATATTAGGTTTGGCAATGATTTCTTGGATTCAATACCAAAGGCACAAGCAATAAAAAAATAAGTTGAACTTTATCAAAATTAAAAACTTTTGCACATCAAAGGACACTATCAACAGAGTAAAAGATTGGTCCATTAAATGGGGGAAAATATTTGCAAATCATGTGTCTAATAAGAAGTGATATCCAGAATATATGAATAAATCATAAAACTCAACAGAAAAGTTGGATTAAGA